TCAATCATTTAACGCATTTCAATATTATGAACAATCAAAAGCATCGTCATCGTGATAAATAGTGGTTGGTTGTATTTTAATGAACTTTTAGTTGTCTTAAGAAATGAATATTTTCCCATATATGTGAGTTAAAATGCTTTTATTCTGTGTATTAAAAAATTAAACTTTTACTTTGATAGAATGCTCCACCACTTCTTTGAATATATATTAATACTCAAGATGAATAGGGCTTTGCACGGTAGCCTAAATTGTACACTATGGACATGGATTCCACGCAGTAATATTAAATCGCCATCTTTTATTAAAATTGAATCCAAACAATGATTCTCGGACATATAAAGTATGTAAGTTGGACTATAATTTAAGTTTATTTAGTGAATTACATTTGTCGGAATTTTTGAACAATATACATGTTTCGAATGATCCAAATCATGAACTAAGATTAAAATTTGACACATTAATGATGTTATCGAACAATATTGATCACACAATGGGGTTGTACAATGAGACCATTTTATTTGTCACATGTTTGGCAACACATTTTATTTATTTGGTATGCCTACAAGTCAAGAGGTTGTCCATTCCAAGATTGTCATTCATATCCAAAATTTGCTTTCAAGTTTGAAAGACAATAATTCTTCATAATGATATCATGTCTTATAACTCTTAAAAAAAATTAAAACCAATTAGTCTCACTTAGGCCTTCTTAAAAAAAACATATATTCAAATTATTGACAATTATATCTTATAACTTCAAAAGTTACAAATCACAGTAGTGTAAAGATTTTGATTTGTAACTAAGATGGACAGCATGCACTCTCTACAACTATTATAAAGATTTTTTTTCCATAAAATGTAGATGTTTTATCAAATGTTATGTAATTATATGTATTTAAACTTGAGATGTGATACAATAGTTAACTCTATGTGAATCTCTATTTAGATAATTAACTAATTTTTGTTTTTACTTAAACATTTCATTCAAATATTATGTAATTTATATTTTGGGACATGTTTCTATCCGTGCAACGCACGGGTATGAATCTAGTTCGAACAAAGCCATGGCCCCATGTGTTACATTTTATGCTTTATTATTATACTCCCTCCGTCCGGAAATAATCTTCTCATTTCTCCTTTTCTTCCGTCCGGAAATAATCTTCCCATTTCTAATTTTAACCACAATTCTTCCAAAAATACCCTTATCATTCAATTTTATTCACTCTCTCAAAGTCCCCTAGATCTACCCTCCCCGTCCCCCACCCTTTTCTCTCTTCTTAATTTTTTTCTTTCTTTCTTTTTCTTTCTCTTTCTCTCTTCCTCTTCCCCAGTCCATCTCTTCTCTTCTTTTCCCCCTCTGTTTTTCTTCTTCTTTCTCTTTCTCTCTTCCTCGTCCCCCGTCCACCTCCTCTTCTCTTCTCTTCCCCCCTCTGTTTTTCTTCTTCTTTTTCTCCCCCTTCTATCTCTTCCATCTCTAGATCTGAGCATGGCGGCGGCGATTGTGACAGTGACGGCGGCGGCGATTGAGGCGATGACGGCGGTGGTGATGTGAGTCTAGATCTGCATTTCTTCGTCTTTTTCTTCTTCATCTTCTTTTAGATCTGCACTACGGTGATGGGGTAGGTGGGGCTGGAGGTGAACGGGGGCTGCCGCCGATGGTGAGGCTGCCGGCGGTAGTGAGTGGCGGCGATGGTGAGGAGAAATGAGATGTGGTGTGACAGGCGGCAAAGGAGGGGCTAGGGGCGACGGTTGGGCCGGGGCTGGTAAGGAAGGAGAGGGAGGGTATTTTAGGAAAATTACGCTCAAAGTCAACCCTTCAAAAAAATGAAGAAAAGTCCAAATGGGAAGATTTTTCCCGGACGGAGGGAGTACTAATGTTTAGAAGGTTCTCATTGCTACGTATGAAATTTTCTCTAACTTTTAGACCTTAATAATTTGTTTTTTTGTGAGATTTCATCTTAATCATCAGCATGACCATTAAGTTTTTCTTTTCCAAAACTATTGTGTTTTGTGCTCCATAATTTGTTTTCCGCATTCTATATTTTATAAAATTAATTACTCCCTCCGTCCTGAAATGTTCTTCCCACTTACTATTCACACGGTCAAACTTTAATCACTTTTTTTACCTATTTTCATTAGGTATTTGATAAAATAATATAGTCTTGTCACCACTTGTTTTGTAGAACTTTTGATGTAGTTTTTAAATACATAAATTTTATTTTTTAATTTTACACCTACAATCAAATAAATTGAATTAAAAATAAAGTCGGTCAAACTTCGTAAACAGAACCGGGAAGAACATTATAGGACGGAGAGAGTATTAAAAAGTTACTACTAATATCACTCCTTTTCACCCTTTCACTCATTGGTGATATAATATATGTAACGAATAAAAGGTGAAACACGTACAAATTTGTACTTTGTTGGGACCGCACATGCCCTAACCTCTACCCCGCATTAGTATGTTATTGTCTGTTCTGGTCAAGCCCACACCAATTTGTTTGAAAGCACTCTCTCAAAAGGCTTCATACTAATGCAGTTGGTTAACTATATATATTGAGTCTGTATATGGTATATCCGGTTAAACCAGAAACAAGGTACCGCCAGGTTGTGCCCATTTTGAAGTAAGGTAGTACCCATTCTCGCAGAAACATAAGTGGAAGTATTTATCAAAATGCCCTGTAAATGTTTCGTATTTGGTGGACTACCCTGTAAAAGTGAATTGACGGAAATGTCCAGGCGTGTATGACCGACGCGCTTCTTAGAAAATGAAAAGTTATTCCATTTAACGAAGCTTAAACGGCGTTTCAACTTTAAATTTAAATAAAAAATCCGAGAATGGGCGAAACGACGTCAGAAGAGACTATACAAAAACCCTCCATAAACATCTTCCTTCATCGTGCGACCATTGAGTTTTCGATCTGTGTGTGCTCTATCCCCCCTCTTCGACACCTGCAAAACTTGATCGATACCCTACCCATCCAAAGTCACCGGTCTCGGAAAACCTTGAATTTCTACAATGAGGACAAAGAATGCTTCTGTGTCTTCCTCCAAGAATGGAAACGATGAGTATCATGCGGAAGAGAGGATGAAAGAGCACAGCGGTAGCCCAAAGCCCACACAAGGAACACTCGAGGTCAGAAACTTGATTTTAAATGAATTATTCTCTCTCCAAATAACCAATGGACAATGGTTTATGAATTTTTAGTGTGATCGACTTCATTGATCGACTAAAATAAGTGTCAACCTCTTGGTCGCACTAATTGCATATCTTTCCATATGAAATTCGTTGACATTATATGCCGTTATATAGGTTCCAGCGATAAAGACGAAGGTAAATTCAAAGGACTTTCCACATATGAAGCTGACTGTGAAGTCTTCACTGCAAGACTTCCAAAAATTGATGAAAGAAAAGTTGTGCGATCATATGGAAATCCTAGAAGTGTTTAGGAGAGATTATCCTTTTGGTGCTTTCCTTGATGTCCAACTTGTTCCCCCTCCAGCCATGTTATGGCAGTTGATGGTTAGGGAGGCTAATGTGGAAGGAGCAAAAGGTTCTGAAATGTGGTTTGTAGTAAATGGAGTTGCCATTAGATACTCTCTAATGGAATTTTCCTTGATTACTGGACTCAAATGTTCACAACTAGCTCCCGGATACGAAGAGCAGTATGATAAGGATTCACTGCCTGTTTTCGTTAAAGAAAACTGGTCAAAGGGTGTGGTATGTTACACTTCAGTTGTTGAGAGGTTTTCAAAATTGTGCCAGCTACTTGACGATGAAGGGAAGAAAGAGTATGCACTCCAGTGGATAGTGAAGGTGGCGACATTGATGTTTGTTGTTCTCGTTTTAACTGGTCATGCTAAGAAAGATGCCCCAGTTCCGAAATGGATCCTTGCCATTGTTGCAAACTCTGATGATTCCATGTCTTTCCCATGGGGGACATGGGCATTCCTGGAGTCCCTCCGTATCCAATCTTTGGGGAAGGACTTAGTTTCAGAAAAAAAGAAGCTTGTCAAAGGCAGGAAAACATCAAACACCCTCCGATACACTGGCTTTTGTCCTCCCCTCATCCGTGAGTAAATTAATTTAAATTCATACTAAAAGCTCCTATAAGGATATGGCTAAATTGGGCTTCATTTATTGCTGAATGCAGTTTCTCCTATTTGAGTGCATTAATGATTTTGGAGAGACATTTGGAGTGAAGATGGAGCAAACAAATCAAGCACTTCCGAGAATGTGTCTCTGGAAAAATAATATTTCAAAAAAGCTGTCGCACGAAGCCATAATCAATGCACTAAACGCTGCCAAGGTAAGGTCTAAAGTTTAAAGAGCAAGGTCGACTTAAGGTGAAAATCGACTTAATGATCTTTAAAGTGAAGGTCGACTTAAGATGTCTTTAATGTGAAGGTCGACTTCATGATCTACACTCATTTTTTAAATATGCTCTTTCTTTTGTAGAGTGTTAGGAGCATTCTTCTTCCAGAAGGAAGTGAAATACGTGCCCCTTGGATCACCGGACCTCCTTGCCTTCTTTTTCCAATCCAACTCTTGGAGAATTTGTAAGGGGAATCCAAGGTGGTGACAAGCATATTCAATTATGCATGAAAAAACAACTTCTGGCCCAAGCAAGTGAAGATGAAGTTCCTGTAGGAAGGAATTCATCTAAAGATGAAGTTCACTCTTCAAGTGAGGGGTCAGAAATCCCCTCCAAAAAGTATGTCCTTAGGAGGAGAAAAGTATCAAAGCCGTGCACCCCACATGAAAAGGCTGAGCACAGACCTATGTTGGAAACGCAGAGCCCTCTGTTGGAAAGGATAACCAATATCAAGGCTTCATCTTTAAGTGGAAATTCTAGTCAAATCTTGCCTAATTCACTGAAAGATTACATTGATGGTAAATTTTCTGAGCTTCAAAAGACGCTATGTCTGGAGGTTGAAAATTTCTTGGAAAGAAAATTTGAGACACTAGAAGAAAGTATTCTCTTAACCTTACTTGCATCCTCAAAGGGAGGGACTGACGAAGCGAAGGAATACGATGGGAAGAAAGAAGAGCCGGTGGAAGTGAATGAGGCCGACCACTCTATACATGAAGGGGTGGACAATAATGAAGAGGATGAAATAAAAGATGGGAAGGAAGATGAGAAGGTCGACCCCCCTTGTTTTGAATGGTTGGACCATAATGAAGATGCTATTAAAGATGGGAAGGAAGAAGAGCCGGTGGGAGTGAATAAGGTCGATCCCTATAGTTTTGACGGGGTTGACCATAATGAAGAGGGAAAAAAAGATGGGAAAGAAGAAGATGGGAAGGAAGAAGTTGGGAAGGAAGGAGATGGGAAGGAAGAAGATGAGCCCATTGCAGACAATATGGTCAAGCTCTCCAGTTTTGAAGGAATTCCTGAAGAGAAAGATGAAGAAGAGGTTGACCAATTTAAAGTAAAGAATAGGTTTCCACCAATCCAGGTAACTTGGTCGACCCCATTCGTCGATCTTTTTTGTTTCGTTGATTTTTATGGTCGCCAAAGTATGTTCTTATGTTTTGAACCTTTAGTAAAGCATTATGTTTCCAATTGTCAGGAAGAAGAAGAGGAAAAGTTTGCAGATGAGGGAGAGGCCAATGAAGATGAGATGGCAATGAGTGATAAAATTGTCCATGATGTTGTTGAATTCTGCAAATCAACTGAAAACAATGTTGATGAGGTAATAAACTTATATTCTGATATTTTCATTTGTGATCCTGCCTAATGCTTATTCCTTATAAATTCTGAGTAGAAAGTTGAGTCCGATGGTGACGTCTTGAGAGAACTGACAGATGTGGATGGAGTCGCTGCTGCACGGGTACGGTTTAATTTGAGTATTATTGAATTAAACTTACTTTTCCTTGACATATTACTTTTAACATCCAGGAATTGGGTCGAGGTCTCCAGGAGAAGAAACGAAGTATTCATATATCGAGCCCCTACTTCAGCAATGTACTTAAAAAGGTAAAGGTTATTAATAGTAATGTATCAAATGAGCTGGATAAAGCCGAAGAAGAGCAACTCAACAAACGAAGGAACCCATCTAGCCAACAACTTGAGGCCTTCCATCAATTCATGCAGTCGGCAATTGGTGATGGGAGAGAAGTTCAGTGTATCATGGAAAAGAGGAGAGAGTCTCACGGTATTGTTAAGAAGTGGTGGAGTTCCTTGATGGAATCCGGCGGCTGGTTGGAGACCACGGTAATATAAGTTAATATTAGTATTACTCCGTATATACAAATAACTTAGTATTATAAATTTAACAACTTATTTTTATTTCATACGCAGCATATGGAAGAAATCATGATCTACTTCATGAAAATGTATAACAAGAAAGATAGCACATATGTCGTCCTCCCAGAGAGCTTTCAAATGTTAGGTGAGGTCAATGCCACTACTGAACTATTTCCAATCCTGGACACCGGCCTCGCAGAAATAGTTCTTGGTAGATGGGACTCATGCTCTAAACCGTGGAAAGATATTTCATGTGTTTATTGGGTTCATAACATAAAGGATCATTGGGTCGCCATAAGAGCTGAATTCGATAGAAAGTGTCTGGTGGTGTTTGACTCCCTACAACGAATTACAAGCATGAGTAAACTTGAAGAAGAACTGTCAAAAATGCTCACAATTTTTCCTGTGATGTGCCAATACGCATCAAATTATCTTCAAGGTATTCCTGGCGACCATAGAGACATGACCGCGAAATGGAGTGTTGAACGTCCTTTGGTGCCGCAACAGACAAATTCAGACTGTGGGGTGTTTGCTTTAAAGTTCATTGAGCTTGGTGTTCAAAATTTGCAACCTTCGGTGCTTAGCGGTAAGTCACTTGAACTGTAACAGGTTAACTCTTGAAGTATGCGTATACGTTATACATCTCTCTTGAAAATTATGAGCATTTATATTTAGAACACGATAACATAAATTTACACAGAAACACAGTTTTGATTGGGTAATTTGTAACTTTTAATGAGGCCACATACTATAATAGTCAACCTCTATCATATTCAAGCTCTTTCATAATCATACGCAAAGGTTGACCTTAATTTGAAAAGAATCACTTTAACGTTTAAAATTTATGGCAACATTCACGACAAGTCGACCAACCATAGTACACAAGTAGTCGATTATATTCATAAACGAGAAGTCGACCTACCATATTCATGAAAGAGTCAACCTCTACCATTTTGACATAAAACTTGGATAGAAAAATCAAAGTCCGTTACATAATGAAAAAGAAGAATATGAATCTCCTCCAGATTATAGGCCTCAACTATTCTGGCCCAGCCCTCCCCAAAAAAGATGTTTCCTTGCTCACATAGTTTAATTTTCACTTCAACAGGGTCAGCGGAAAGAGGGCCCCAAATCCTGATGACATCGCCATCAGCGTATTCAGGACCACCGACAATCTTATTAAAGTAATATGGGATCCTCTGAATCAGTAAAAGATTGAGTTAATTAGACATAACATAATTTAAAAGTAAAAGAAACACAAGAAAATGAATGAAATCTCAAACCAATCTTTCTCTGAAACCGAGATCACCGGAGAAGATAACACAAAAACTCGTCATTTTGCAGATCTTTACAAATGGATAGGGATGAAAGCATGAAACCCTAGCCGGTGATTCTCATATTTATAGTTTCAAGCCCATGAATGAAACGACGCCGTTGACAGATAAACATAGGCGTCGTTTCCTAATTAGTATTTAATATAATACTAAACGATACCAAATATAAAACGACGCCGTCAAGTATGAAAACAATGCTTATAAATGTTGAAATTAATTTTGTCGACATTATAATAGGTCAACATTTAATAGGTCCTCATAATTACAATTCGCATGCATTAATTACAAAGCTGCACAATTCCCAAAACCTTGACGGAAATATCAACGTTTCCCAAAACGTCAACGGATAAACATATGCATCGTTTCCTAATTACGTACAGTATTTAACTCGTTTTGTAATTTAACAACTGAGGAAAGTAAACGACGCATCGTTTCCTAATTACGTATTTAACTCGTTGTGTAATTTAAAAATACTAATGGAAATGGAATATTAAATTAATATTTGTTTAAAATAATACTAACCGATACAAAATATTAATGAAAACAATGCTTATTAATATGTCGAAATTAATAATGTCGATATTGCAATAGGTCGACATTTAATAGGTCGACATAATTAAAATTCGCATGCATTAATTTCAAGGCTGCACAATTCCCAAAACCTTGACAAAAATATCAACGTATCTTCGGTCTATATAAAAAATGTCGATATTATAATATAAAACGACGAAGGAAACGTTGCTGTATAGTAGGTTGACCACATATGTCGACATTGTACTAGGTCGATGAATATAAAAACTCACATTCAGCAATAACATTTAAATTTTGTACAAGGACCATTATCAGCATTAACTTTAATAATATATCATTAAAAACAATATTAATAATAATAATAGTAGTAGTAATAGGGAGAAATGTTGTCGACATTAAAATAGGTCGACATTTAAAATGTCGAAATTATATTTAAATGTAGAGAGAATTTTTAAAAATCCTAAATATAAATCTTGTGCTATTATAATTAAATGTGTCTATTGTGAAATCTAACGCATTAAGCATTGAGAATTTAAGGCCACATTTTTAAAGTCGACCTACCTCATTAATGCAAGAGGCTACCTCTTCCATTTCTATGTCATATTCAGGCTCAGTTGTGGACTTTTTTCCAAGAATGAAGTTAAAAATTAGATCTTTTCTCATGGAGTATCAAACTATCATAAAGGATGGATGAGTAGAAGGAGAAAGTTCATTAAAATAAAAATAATAGGGAGTACATATTATTCTTCGGTGGAAATATTAGTTTTCCACCGCACACCCATTTTGACCAAAAACTTTGATAGAAAAATCAAAGTCCGTTACATAATGAAAATGAAGAATATGAATCTCCTCCAGATTATAGGCCTCAACTATTCTGGCCCAGCCCTCCCCAAAAAAGAGGTTTCCTTGCTCACATACTTCAAATTTCACTTCAACAGGGTCTGCGGAAAGAGGGCCCCAAATCCTGATGACATCACCATCAGCGTATTCAGGACCACCGGCAATCTTATTAAAGTAATCTGGGATCATCTGAATAAGTAAAAGATTGAGTTAATTAGACATAACATAATTTAAAAGTAAAAGAAACACAAGAAAATGAATGAAATCTCAAACCAATCTTTCTCTGAAACCGAGATCATCGGAGAGGATAACACAAAAACTCGTCATTTTGCAGATCTTTACAAATGGATAGGGATGAAAGTATGAAACCCTAGCCGGTGATTCCCATATTTATAGTATCAAGCCCATAAATGAAACGACGCCGTCGATGGATAAACATAGGCGTCGTTTCCTAATTACGTACAGTATTTAACTCGTTTTGTAAATTGTAAACTGAGAAAAGTTTAAATCGACGCATCGATTCCTCATTACGTATTTAACTCATTCTGTAATTTAAAAAATACTAACGGATATGGAATATTAAATTAGTATTTGTTTAAAATAATACTTACCGATATCAAATATATGTCGACATTGTAATAGGTCTACATTTAATAGGTCGACACAATTTAAATTCGCATTCTTTACTTACAAAGCAGCACAATTCCCAAAACCTTGACGGAAATATCAACGTTGCTTCGGCCTATATAAAAAATGTCGACATTATAATATGAAACGTTGCTTTATAGTAGGTTGACCACATACGTCGACATTCAAGTAGGTCAACATAATAATTTAATAAGTACCCCCGGTTTACTTTATGTTTACTTTTTCTTTTCCTATTCACATGCAGCATAAAGTTAAAAATCGCACATTTCCCAAACTTTGACAGTTTGACCAAGTTCACGGGATGTTAATGCTGGCTGAGAGTGAAGCACGCTTATATATACAGAAATACTCCATATTGAAATGTAAATCACCCTCATCTCAAACAATTTTCGATATGGAAAACAAAGCAAATGATGTCCCCAAAAACATTGAGAAAAAAATTCAGTCATGGAAGGAGAAATTGAAGGATATGGAGAAAAAGCTGGGGGTACTGGAGACAGAAGAAATAGAACTCCAAAACGGGTCTCAAAATTGGATCGAAATCATACAGAATTTGGAAGCGAGGGTGGAAGCTTTGGCAAAAATCCTAGGATTATCAGTGAGTGACCTTGATTCTGGATCTTCCTCTGATATGAGTGACGAAGAGTGATGAGGAATGGTTTGAATTAAGATCAAAATAAATTTCCCCCTTTGTCAACTTTTAAAACTTTTTTATCTGGATATTGTAAGAACTATTGTAATGTTGTATTATTAAGTGATGAAATTTAACATTCGACGAGTCTTGTTGTACTCTGTATCAAATTGTTTAACAATCAACGTGAATATATGAAAACAACCTTGATTCCAATATACTAAAGATGATCATATAAATGAATTAAAGAAACAGAACAGAAATTAACTTTGTTGTACATTGTTTAACATTCGGCAACAATAAGTAAAACAACAAAAGCACAAATGAAACTCGTTATGTGTGTCCATCACAAAATGTAGACTTCTATTCACCGTAGTGTGAATGTGCATATTCTTTGATTCGCCACTTGAGCTAAAGCCTCTTCCATGGTAGGTTTGTAGTAGTTGATCCTTTGATAGTTTAATTATTTTTATTTACAGTCCATCTGTATTATAAAGTCCAAAAGTCAACCCTCCCAGGGTGGGTATAATACAGATGGACTGTAATAACATAATCCAACACTGGACTCTGTAGTGAGAAGCACTTTCTTGGACTCACCACTTGAGCTCAGAGCCTCCACCATGTCAGCTCTATACTCGTTGTGCCTCCTCCTCCATAGCCCCCCTAAGAGCAAGTAGCAATTGGCGCACATCTCTCCACCCCAAAATAACTTTAAGGGAAGAATACACATTGTTGATCCAAAAACAATGTGTTTCCGATTAAGGCGGTGGGAGATTGGCAAAAAGAACATAATGGATCGCGAGAAATCCATTAAGCTCTTTTTATTAATACGAGAAATCCATTACGCTCTTTAGTAAATAACCACGTAAATGAAAGAACCATTACTCCCAATACATTATAATGTAAAGGTGAGAAATTTTAAGGATAAATAACCGGATTTGAGAATATGATGGGTGAAAGGATTGGAGAACAACCGGATTTGTGGATGGATTGAGTATAGGATGGTGCAATGATTTAGAATTTATAAGGGGGATAACCATTGGTTCTTGGTGAAAGAAGGCTTTGGCATTGAACGGTTCTTGGTGCGATGACTTTGAACGGTTTAGCATTGAATTCGGGTAGTCTAAAAGCATGCAGGGAAACCCATATCCCAATAATTATTTTTACGGAGATTATAAGAAGGGCCTTTATCCACCGTTCGATATAACCTGCCTCAGTCACATCAAATCTTTAAAAATACGGAGTATTATTTACTGTCCCATTATTACAATTGGAATTTTTTTTAAAATATGAAGTAATTAAATAATTTTTACTCCGTATAAGTCTATTCTTATAAGAATACATATGAAGAACATAATATATTTGTATGCAAAATTCTGTAAAACAACTAGAGGGAAAGAATATTTCAAAATCGACATATGCTCAGATTTTATTATTTTGGTTTTGGTCAACCTCTTCTAATATTATGTTGGTCGACCTCTTATAATATTAGGTTTGGTCGATCGTATAACTCGATGTGACTCTTAATAAAAAAAATCGACCAAGTCTATTAGTGGGCTAAGTCGATCAAACTAATCCCATTGGAGTATTTTTGCAAAAAAT